CTGTGACCCAGTATTGGATAAATAGGTTAGAAATGGATGCATAAGTGGTAGAACTTGACCTTTTCTGCACAAATGGTTAAAATGTCATCATACTACCTATGCGGAAAGCACTTTGTGTGTTTCAGGGTAAAGAATGCACAATAGAAATGAGACAAGATTTTGAAACAATATTATATAATTCAATAACTCATATTAGGACCTTATTGTACAAAGCAACTTAATCCTTATTGAACGTAGACTGAGCTAAACGTAGTGGAGTTGTGATCACCAATATTTTTTCTTATGGAATGTAATAGTTTGTTTATTATTAATAGGAGGGAGAGGAAATAACAGGTTAGAAAGTCGGGTTGTTGGAAATGTCATTTACAAATTGTTAAAAATGGCAGTACCAAGCAGTTAGGAGAATCCAAACAGAAATTGAACTAAAATACTTGCATGTGCAGAAGAAAGTATTCTATTCAGGAAGAAACCTAGTGATAACTTTTTTGGTGACTGTAAAACTAGAATTACCAACACTAAGGTCCTATATGAAAAACAGTAGTAAAATAGGTTATTTTCTGCACAGAATCCACATTTAGACCGGCATTCTGAAATGAATGACTTCTAAACCACTACACATAGTAGTACAGAATAGCAATCGGAAAACATTCTGTACAGCTTACAGGCCCTATTCCAAATGATGTTTTTTTTTTAAATGTCATTGTGGCATAGCTTTGGTTTCTGTTTTTCTAAGAAAAATACTTTTGTTTCTTATCTCATCTCTATTTCAAATTAAACTGTATGTCAAACTCCACTTTACAAACAAGACAAGAAATATATAAGAGATTAGGCTTTCAGAATGCCTTATAATATCAGAGTCTATTTCTGTTATAAAAATGTTGTTTGCTTCATACTGGTCTTCTCATTTTGGTTTTTAATTCTACTCATGAAGTTGTGTAATTGCACAGTTTTCATTTCCAAGATCCCTGGGTAGCTGCCTGTCATGGTTTGCTCACCTATGTGACCATGCCATAAAAATCTCTAAGGATACAATTTTACAATTCTTTAGTTTGCTATTTAAAGTCAAATGATTATTTACAGAAAACAATTCACTGTAGTAATAATTGTCTCAGTTGGTTTGTTTTGTAGCATTAATTTCAGACATCCTCTAAGAGGTCAAAGTCACAGTTTGTACTTCTACAAGAAGTGTTTTGTGCTTGGCTATAGTAGATCTGATTTTGTAAATCCATGCAGTATTGTTATTTTGGACAATAGCTTCAATAACCACAGAGGTAAATATTTAATGAGAGCAATTGTTTTGAAATGTGTTTTATTTAATTTTGTTTTAAATGGCATTTCAATAATCTTTTAAAAATGTTGCAATGAGATTTCACACAATATCAATATCCTGGTACAGAGGTTTCAACACAACTGGTACTGATTTACCAAACAATATGAAACTTTCTACTAATTTTTTTTAAATGGCATTCAGCATAGATGTCTATGTACGCTGATGGAGTACTGCTAACAAATATTTTGTTTATTTCCTATTACCATTGTAATAGCATAACTTACTAATGGCTTCCTGGTCACTACCCCTAATAAAAAAAAAACTAAGATTTTTGGAGTCACTTAAATTTCCAAAATTTCTAATAATTTGAAAATTACACATGTACAGAGCTGACTTCAATGATTTGTATTTCTGCCAAGTTTTTACAAATTAGTACTTCAGTATCAAATCAAAGTATTTTTAATTGTTCTAGTCCCTTCATTTTCTAAAATGTGAAAGACTGCGTACTCTACAGAAGTCTAAAAAACAGGAAAAGGCACAGTACATAGTTCTCCCACATACAAATTACTCTTTTATCACAGACTAGGAGATGAAGGACAGGAAACATTTAAACATAATGGCAGTAGTGAAAAGTGCCCTGATGCTGCAGAGTGAGAGGAACATTATTATCAAGGTGTTTATTCTTTTATTTTTTTCACATTTTATATGTTTGACCATGAGGGAGATTTTATGAGCAAGTTCTATAATACAAAATGTTTCCTACTGAGTCAACAACTTTATATTAGGTAGCAGTTTTCAAATTATTTAAAGAAAGATCATTCTAAGGTGTTGAATCAAAGGATACAGTGTCCTGGGAACCAAGGTGTATGGGCCATCTCACATCTAGACGTTAGGAAATCTGGTTGCTGCATTGGGTTTTTTATTATAACCTTAACGGGCTTTTAAAGATTCCATTTTAGAAAATGATATTTCACTGTTACTGAGATACAGACCTACTGTATGCATATACATACTGTAGACATGTATGCAGTAAAAAATACAGTAAATCAATGTGGTCTTTAAAAGGACACTTAACACAGCCTCTTGACTGGTCAAGGCTGATTACTGACAAAATGCATCAAAACGTTTTTCTGGAAAATAGAATAAATCTTGTGAAATCTCTTTTGAACACAAAAAATGCAATTCCTTTGAGATAGATGTACAGTATTTGTATTAATAACTCAAACACTTGAAATTTGTCTGTATTGATTTTTATGAGTTATAAGTGACCACAATATATTCTGTTACTAAATCAAAACAAAAACAACAATAATCTCTCTGTATTCTTCATGACGCTAGTTTGTGCAACCATTTGTAGTAAATGCAAATATATTCAAATGTTTGTCCAAGACACAAAATATTATGAAAAGTTTTAGCTTACAAATAAAGAAAGGCTAATTAAAACAAAGAAATATAGTAAATAAAAATGGCTACACTTCGGTTTTGTACCTATTTTTGTACCTAATTAATACTTAAATTAGAGAGCTTAATTAACCCAATTAGAGAATACCCATTATCACAAGAGAGTCCACCTCCAACAAATTACAACATCAGTTCCATTAGAATTAGAATCTAATGTCCAATTATATTACTACAGTATGTCAATTGCATGTGATGAATGTGTTTAATGTGTAATGGTTCAAAACCTTCTTAACTACTGTTTGTGTTTTTGTGTTTTTGCTGCCTAAGTATTGCCTGTAAACTGGTGAGTTTTTCTGAATTACTGAATACAACAACAGTCACCATGAGCCTTTGGTGAAGCACCACAGATGCATGTAACAACAATCATGTTTTTTGTGAAGTCACATACTACCATCTACCATCTTGTTCAAGCACATTGAGCAAAAGGCCTAGTCTACTATTTTGCAGATCTTACATAATGGGACACACAAGACCATTTCCATAACTTTCATGAGGAAGGGTCGTCCCTATGGAGTATACCATTTCCTCATATTGTGGTTGAAAGATACTATTTGTACAGGTGCTTTCACATTTACAAATTGCTTTCAATGTGTGAACTTTTAAATATCATGAGATGTACTCAGAACAATTAGTTTTATAGTTATTTTTACAGTTTATATCACATTTCAGCCGCAGAATAACGTGACCATAAATAACCAAAGAATCCAATCAAATATGTTAAAAACACAGATATTGAAACAAAAGCACAGGAAACGTGAGCTAAGCACAACATTTCCCTGCAGCCGAAATGTTGTGTTTTACCTTTCTTCTCTTTTCAGCATGGAATAAACCTTTAACTTGTTCCTTTGCAGCCTGCGCTTGCTGACACAGCTACCTACTTGAACTACAACTAACGAATTCACAGCAAGTTTTCAGTATAAATATGTTGCTGTCAAAATGAAAATATTACATAGTATTGAGTAAGACCTCAATGGAATGTTAACACGGTACTGCTAGTACTGATGCTTAGACCTGATCAGCCTCCAGACAAAGTTCTGTGGGATGTTTTGCCGCTCTTCCTGTGTACCTGCCGTCACCTGGCGAAGGTTGCCTGATCACAGTTGTCTTGAATACCACAACAGTCACTATGAAGCTCATTATGACATCTCCATGCATTTGCCACCTTCCATCAGTCCCGTCAAGGACAAGTAATTAAAGAATAGCGGTCTTTTCTGCCACTTGTGATGTTCTCTGGGCTGAATAAGTTTCAGCTGTTATGTTACTCCTGAATGGTCCTAAAGCGTGTAGTTTATTTTTAGGCAGACAGCAAGCTAGTCTTTCCTCTGATGTACAGGTTATTTCTTCCTGGAATTTCTTGTGCTGAATGCACTACAGAACAAGATTATGCAGTTGAATCAGATGGATGTGTTCTTCACAGATGTCCCTGTGCCTGTACCAGGATATAGCCTGTTTCTCACACAGTTGGTTTCTTGTTTTTTTGGGATTAAATTACTGACTGTTGAAACAGAATATTTCATTCTTTTGACAAGTGTTTCTACAGAAAAAAAACACTTTCAATAATTTAAATAGTAATCAGGCATTCCTCATTACTCAATACAGTATATATGAATAGATACAATACATGTGTGTTTTGTTGTTCTAACATTAATTAAGATTTAGTTTTTATTTTAATATGGCCAAAATTATTAGCTGGATTTGCATTGGCATTAGTGGTTGGTGGCTTGGTTTTAAGCATAAAAGTAATAAAACTGTAGCAACATGGCATTAAGTTCAAAAGTAGTTGTCTTCTGTGTACAAAATGTCAAAGACAAATTATTGGTACTTATAATGTGCTTAATAATTGCATTAAACATTAATTAAATTATCTAGGAAACCTTTTCCTTCTATATATTTAATCGTACAACCTCGACTGCTACATGATTACAAATATAAGACTGCAGTCACAACATTATCCACTTCACTGAATGAATCCATGAACTAACACTCTAAATGATTTGGGTTACGTAGTCTCATTTCACTTTAGCTTATCTGTTAGGAAAAAAAAGAACAAAATGGTATAGCTTCTTTCTGACTCGCCCAAAGTACTGCAGTCACAGACTCTGGAAGGTAGTAACAACCAATATGAGACAGGCCTGCAGGGGTCAGAGTCGCACTGTGTGCAGAGTTTCTGTTATGAAATTACTCTTTGTAATATGTGTCCTTGAGGAGCTACATGCTCAATCCTCATTGGCCATGCACCACAGCACCGGAAATTATGTCTTCATTTGGAAAGAAATTCCGCATCCCTTTGCTTATGAGCCTTATTTTTCCCCCAAATTCCTTATGAAATGCTTATTACACATAAGCCATGATGCTGCTGAAAGTCCTGTTTACTGCTGTGTCCATGACAACAACCTGCTGTCTGCTCACTCTGTGACTACCTCATTTCCGAGAAAAAAATCAATTCAGTGTTCCTGTAAATCAGATCTATTCATTTTCAACAGTTGGCTCTTTCATCCTATTAAGGACAGCTTTGTTAAGTAAGTATATATAATATAATAATAATATAATATATATACTGTAAGTATTTAAGTATGCCCCTTGGTGTTTTCCAGTAGTAAAGTTTTGTTCACTTGCACCATTGTGAATTTATAAATGTAGAGATTCTCTCTAATTGTGTAAAAGCAAAAAAAAAACACCTGATTAAAAGAGGTTGTTCTTTACTTTGACTTTCCTAGGTTAATTTGAAATTGAACATAATGCTGTGCTTTAACATTAAATGCATTAAATACAGTCAAAAGAGCAAATGCTTAATTCTGTATGAGAGGAAAATATTTTATGCTGTTAAAATCTTTCAGGTCTATATCGGTGTAGTATATATTACTCTGTACAGTATCTGTGACTTTAGACTGTTGAAGCATTATTTATCCATTTCTACATAAATAAGAAAATATTCATATTGCTTTAATTACCACTCTGCAGTCTCCTTAATCCCAACTCAGTAGTTTGATTATATCCTAATGATTGCAATAAAGAACCTCCTCATTATTGTGAGGATTGAGCTATGGAGTTTGCTGCAAGAGATGGCGAGGCAAAATAGATATGCAAAGGGAAGTCCTGGGTGCGAGTCTTGGAGTGTATACTGTACATAGGTGAGCAGAAGTGTGCGAGATTAGGCCTAACCTTCCTCTAGAACTTCTATTATAAACTCCTGTTACAACATGGGTGTAAAAGAAGAGTGAATATGGAGAGCATTAGGGCTTATATAGCAGGTTTATGCTGGTCATCACTCATGGAAAGGGATCTGCATTTATGGAATATTCTGTACAATAAGGCTACTAAACCAGAAGGACTTTCAATCTTCTTCTTTGCAGAATCTTACTTTAACCAGCTTCTTAATTATTTCATTGATAATTAGAAGAATCATTTAATATATAAAGAATGATTTAAACCCAAAGCTAGCCTCTAGAATTTCTATTTCAAGACTGTCATCTGTCGTCCATCCACTCCATTACACAGATCTGTGGCAACCAAGCTGGTATTACATCCTACATGCATAGTCTATAGTGAGAGGCATTAAAAACATGATAAATGCTGAGAATGGGTTTCAATACTCAATTGTTGCATTTTTAATGCTTCTCTGTCTACAGATAAAACACCACATTAATAAAAGCAGATTAATGGCAAAATCGTTTGGTAAAAATTATCCATTATCATTAGCTGAACATATTTCAAAAGGTATTATTCAAGTATTAAGGAAAACCATTTAAAACCCCAACACACAGATTTGTGGAGATGTGTAAATGGATTTTATGCTATGCAACCAAGGGTGTGGGAGAGCATGTTATTCTGAATTTTCACAAATTGTGATCCAGACTGTATGACATAACAGAATGCAACATCCTTGACTTTGTTGGCAAGGATATATGCCAGTCATTTATGCAGACACACTGAGGCACTAGCAGACTGAAGAATAGGGGATTCCTTAAGCCACAATCACTAAAGTATTAGAAGAATTCAGCCATGGTGCTTTATTGACATTTTCTCTGGTAAAACCATGGAGTAGTAAAGCCTGAAGAAAATGTGATGTGATTGCTTGATAAAATACAGGGACATAAAATATATTTTTCTATGGAAGTACAGTGAGCGTTTAGTTTCACACTATGAACCTCCACAGAAAAGAGCTGCACGGTAACAGTTCATGTTACTCTACTAAGGCAGCAGTAAGTAGAGAGTATCTACATACAGTACAGTATATTAAATAAGGGGTATAGTTGTGAATCAAGTATGAATACAATTTAATGTCTGAAAAGTCTTCAACCCATCTTCACATTCTCTTGTTTTCTGTCATTATACTGTAATTGTTTTATCATAAATTGACTAAAATGGAGACAGTTCAGTAGAAGTATAATTGACTGTTCCCCATTCTTCCCAGCATGGAGATTTAGTTTTGGCTGAAATTTGTATGAGTTATTAAGAAATATTTTTAGTAATTGATCCTATGCTATGCTGCCTTTTAAAGATTAAAGCAAAAAACTGAAGGGTAAACCCAACATTTTCTAACTGCTTCATCCACTACAGGGTCATGGGGGAGCCTACTCCAGCATGCAACAGGCACAGTCCATGGCAGGGCACAGACAGGTACAAACATGCACAAACTCATTGTTAGCAATTATGAATGCTGAAAATAAGGACCCTGTGCAGGGCTCAAGTAGGGTTATTTCCTGAGTAGTAATAAGAAATCCAAATAGAAAAGGCTACCAAAAAAGAAACACAAGTCCTAATATCCAAAATCCGAAGGGCAGGCAATAGTCAAATCCGGGAGAAGACAATACAGCGAGACAACCAATCCAAAATTGCAAAGGCAGAAACGTGGTCAGAATCGAGCGAGAGTCAGGAAGTAAGGTATAGAACAAGAAACAGAAGGAGGGTACGCACACTAGGAAGCTCCAGAGAGAATCTGAAGTAGTGAGCGATGGTACGGGAAAAGAGAAGGATTAAAGTAGTGATGGGAGTGAAAGGCGATGGGAAGATTAGTTGCGGCATGAGCGTTTATTTGAGTGGGTGCGCGTGGGAATGTTTGTGAGAGTGTGTGGAATGCATGACAGTGCGAGTGTGTGCAGAATGCGTAACACTTACTGTATACCAGGGCTAATATTTCCAGAAGCCAAATGTATTCCATTCAGATGGAAAATTATGCACGATACATACAGAATATGTAGCTGTATACATTAAATAAACCAGGCTAGACTTCACCAAATTAATTAAGGAGTAATTCTAGTGATGGAACATTGTGCAAGCTTGTGAAACCTTATCATCAGGCAGCAAAAAAGGTTATAAGAAAGTAAAAATTGGATGGAAAGGAGGAAGTAGTATCTGTAAGTGTGTGATGTGTTTTGCAGTGAATTCTGGGATAGATTGAGCTAAAGGTCTGTATTTACACCATAGTGTAGTAGCCAGAATCTGATGCGACTTGTAGTCCGTCACTGAACTTGAACTTTGAACTAATTAAACTTATGTGAAACAGATGTGCAGATGTTTCTGGAATTAAACTTGTGTGAGACACACAAATCAGATATACAGATCTACTTATATTCTTTGTAGCATGTGATTGATCTCCCTGGGGTGAACGGTCTTCAGAAAAGCATCTTTACAGTTAAAGATAAACAAAACTGGGTTGAAAAAGGAAAACATGAATCTCTTACTAAATAATGTATTGTTAGTACTAATAGAATAATTAGCTGAGTATTGTCTTTGCACATCGATCTTTGAACTCCAACAACCATGCACTCTATCTGCTGCTTAAAATGACATTAGCCCCATTAGTTGCTTTCCCCAGCAATACACATTTTTACAAGTCTTCCTTACTGTCATAAATCTAAATTACTGAGCATATGTTGTTGCAGCTCCAAACGCTAAATATATCTACAATTTTGTTGTAGATATTGCAGAGTATTTGTAACTAGAGTAACCATGTACTGTATCTCTCATGACAGCTGTCCTGTGGCATTCTTCGGCTAGCGGTTGACCTGGGAAACCATCACATTCTCACGAGGGCTCATGGATTTCCAGGGCTTGCTGCTCTGGATCCCCTTTTCGTGGTTCATGTTAGTTATCGAGTATTTATTCAATCCCCGGTTTTTCTGTTTAATACTCTGTCACTCAGTGCAGCAGCCTTAGATTCAAGCCTGCACTCCATCCCGTGTCGACCCTCGAGCTTGCTGACCTGCACCCTCTGACACTCCTGAGGGCTGCCCTTCAATACCCATTCTGTTCCCTTTCAGTTGGGGTTGCCATTGGGTTTTGTTCTTTACCCGAGACTCCCCTTTTTCCAAACAATGGGCGGTGTTTAGTAGCATCTTTTCACCAGGAATGTAGTTAGCTTCTTCTGGGACCTATGCGCCTCCCTATTTCTTTTCCATTACTGGGCTGATTAAGCCCTGCCAGCCAGTTATCAATTATTTCATTATCCCCTCCTTTCACTTTTCACACTCTGGTCTCATGTGCTTGAGTTCTGACATCCGCAACGTTACAGTATCATCACACCTCATTACATACTACACCAAAGTCCCTTTGCCTCTGAGTTACTTCTGGAATGTTCCACTGTCTCAAAAAGAGTTAAATTAATATCTACCCTTTTTTCTTTCAGACTCAGATATTAAATTCACTATGTGTTGAAGGCCACGAAGAAGTGCAGACAGTATGCATTTGTCTCTTAATTTGATCTTCTTGACTTCCACAACTTATTTTATAGAACCAGAAGTGACTTTGCCCTGCAAAGACCCTTGAAAATTCAGGTTTCAGAATCCCTACCGGAGTCGCCTGTGGATTTGATAGACTTCTAACTTTAACATCTAGAGTTAAAAAGCACTAAAGAAAAGTGACTTAGGGCTTTATTATTTTGTGATATACTGTGAAAAACTTTGCTTAACACCAGATCCATAGAAATTTCTGCGAATTAAATACTGGACATTTAAAAAAAAATTAAAGATGCTCTCTTTAAAAAAAAAAGTATTCTAGTCACAAAACAGCACATGAAAGGTCAAATACTGCTTTAATTAAAGTTTAAATTGAAATTTCTTTTACAATGGCAAAGCCATTATACAGTATTCATTTACAAATAAATCTCTGCTCCATCCATCAAAGATCCACATCTGAAAAACATTTTGGAGAACCAGACAACAATTTATTAATTTATGCACACAACTACTGCAGTGGTTACCATTGATAAGTAAACTAACTTGTCCTGTCCTGCTATTGGACCTTGTGTAATAGCATGGATTGCATGTACTGTAATTTCTGCTGCTGTATTTCAAACATGATGTAACACCGTGACTCCCTCACAATGGTCAATCAGTCTTGTGTGGCACTTTTGTCAACATCAGGAAGCTGAATTGTGAACAGGATCTTGTTCTAAATTCAAAAGCTAAACTTGCAAGAGATTTCCAACTTTGTTGTTTATCATACACACTAGCTTAATAAAATACAAGCTAATTTACAACTCTTTGTGTATATCTTTTTTTGTTATATAGACAAATCCCCACATTTGTATTTAAGATGTAGTCAGGCATGTCTAAAACTTAAAATAAAAAAAATCTAACATTCCTTCCATATTTGTCTTATGGGTCATTAAATCTCAATTAATGTGATCTTCCATACTATCATCAAGCTTAGTGTGATTACTGTGTTCCCGTCTATTTTTCAAGTTATTAAAAACATATTTTGCTATTCAGTTGCTGAATTCTCATGAAACCATCCCAAGCTGTATGTTTATTTTTGCTAGTCAGTCTCTTCACAAATCACATGCAACACAGCTTTTCCAAGTAGTCATAACAATATGAATTCCTTACATTTATATACAGTAGCACCTTTCTTCCCTCAAGATCCCAAAGCACTTTACACATAGTAGGGGACCCACTTCATCCACTTCTGAAGTGCAGTACCCAACCCAACATAATGTGCCGGCTGCCCCACCACACAACAGATCAAGACAGGGAGTGAGAAGCTGCTTATTTGTCCGAATCCCTGCTTAATCTATTGAATTAAGGAGGGATGGTAGGAATGTCAAACTGTACACTGGAGTTTCTCTTGAGAAAAGTGACATGGGATTCCTTTTTAACCATGTATTCTGGACATTGGTTTCATCAGAAGGAAAAATCACTGGGGCATTGGTTTAGAGGGAAGGGCACCAACTACTGTTCCAGCCAGGCCACTTGCAGCAGCATCCTGCATTTCTTGAGATTTCTCCCATCCCAGTACAAACCAGACCGGTTTTGCTCAGCTTCTAAGATGTAGTGAGATCAGGCTACAAGGTGATTATGCTGCTGCCACTTTTCAAGATCTGTTCTCTTATGGATTTGAACTGAAGCTCCAAAAGGAACCCTCAGCAATGAGAGTCACTGTGCAGCACTTGCAATTAATAAGCTGATTTCCTCAGAGAGGCCGATTATTGCTAAACATATACAGTTCCTCACTAGTTAGTTGAAATGACAGCCTTAGATAAAACTCAATCACAAAGCTCCAGCCTTTGCTAACTGAAATTTCATAAACCTGTGGCTGCATTGTGAGCCATTCCTGATGTAAAACAGCACTGAGATATACATGCCTGGCTGCAGCCTTCCTTCACCACAGCAAGTGGAATTGGAGCCTGGATTACATGATCTGAAGTAAGCAGCTTGTCAGTAAACATATTTGAATCTTTCCTTATTGCTACACTGCATGATCTTTGTGCATATTAGGTCTCTTTCCCAGCAAACTCTAATAACACAATTATAACTGCCACTCCATCAATATCCTCCCTGTCAATTTGTGCTCTGCTCAGCTAATACTCCAGCCTCCTTGCATCAGCGCATGAGGATGAAATAGTTTGTTAATCTGTAGATGTGTTGTCTCTTGCTCAAATTCACCTGCAGATAAAAAAAAGACCATTCCCATTTCTATTCCCAAAAGACCATTTTTGTTTAAGGGAACAGAAAAGAAATAACTTAAAAGAATATTTCAACCTGGCTGCCTATAATTCTAGGAAGAGTGATTAATGAATTTCAAGGTGTGGGGGTATAAAGGGATTGGTTGAAACAGAAAAAATGAGGAATGATGATACGATATTATAGTATTAAATTATGATAAAATGTTTTATTTTTGTTTTGAATTGATAAATGTGTTTGTATGTACAGTATCATGTTCTACCAGCAATGTGCCTAAATTAGTTATTACATCTTGTGAATTTATTTGAAAATAAATTCCCTTGTTTTGTGTCCTATCTTTGCCATGATCACACAGCATTATTCTTTGGCATAACATAAGTTACAAACCTTCAAGTTCACATTTTCAGAATAAATTTTTAAACATAACAGATATCTATAGAAGACCTGCTTTTTCATTTTGGTCTATCTCCTGTCAGTTTCAATAAAAACAAAATCTTACTCTCACTGAATGTAGTGCTTTTTTGGACACTCCATGCTTTACAGGTAATGGGGACTCCCCTCCACCACTACCAATGTGCAGCCCACCTGGATGATGTGGCAGCAGCCATAGTGCACCAGTACACACACCAGCTATCAGTGGAGAGGAGAGCAGAGTGATGAAGCCAATTCATGGATGGGGATTATTAGGAGACCATGATGGGTAAACGCCAATGAGAAATTTGGCCAGGACGCTGGGGTTACACCCCTACACTTTTAGAGAAACACCCTGGGACTTTTCATGACCACAGAGTCAAGACCTCGGTTTTACATCTCATCTGAAGAACGGCACCTTTTTACAGGACCCCCTGCTGGCCATACTCACACCTCTTCCAGCAGCAACCTTAGTTTTTCCCAGGAGGTCTCACATCCACTGATCCACTGGTACTGACCAGGCTCACACTTGCTGAGTTTCAGTGAGTTGTCAGTTGTGAGTTGCAGGGAGATAATGGCTGCTGGCCACAGCACAATAAGTGCATCAACTGCAATAATAAAAAAATGTATTTAAATTCTTATATGCCAATCCATAACACAAGTGGCTAACAACTAATTTTTTAGTTTAAAATATCAGATGTTTTTTCTGAATAAAATTAATTTCTGCCTTCTCATTTTCTAATAAAGACCAATTAAATAGTACTCCATATCACCTTATCACATCTGTTAGAAAGGACATGGGCCTTGCAAAGAAACACATTAAAGTAAAATGGCTCAAAAAGACCCTTTTATTTTGTCATATTTTTCTTCATTCATGGCAATAAAAAAGTGAAAGGGAATTAAATGCAGTGTGGGAGAACCTTTCTCAGATGAATTACCAAATGACTGTTAACTATATTGAGTGGTGGTGGTGGGGGGATTTTGTATGGCTCCATACCATCTTCACCCTGGCAGGTCACAAGAAAGATAATAGCACAAACAGCCAGACTACAATCTAGGCCTGCAATCTCACCTTACAGACATCAGCCTGTAACAGCTCAGAAACCAAGCATCATACTGTCCATTGGAACAGAGCATTTCTCTCTCATTCTCTGACAACTTGGATAAGAATTTGATGTGCGGCACTGTCATTTCATGAACCTGACAGCTTGTGTTCTGATATTGTTGCTGTTATCTACAGTAAACCGTGAATTCATGTAAAGGGTGAAACTTGTTCTGAAACTAGAATCACTTCTGCACAGAACTTTTACGTTTTAGTACAACTACTGGGATAATTTGGATACAATTTGGTGAACAGGTCAGTAATTACTGCCTGTATCACATTGGTGCAACTGACTTAGAGAAAATACAATATATTATCTGTATACATACTATATACTGTACACTGACATAACCAAGGTTTAAGAATCCAAAACACTGACCAATGTGAATGTTGTTCACATTACTCCTGAACCAAATCAGAATTGTTTAGGTGTGTTTAGGTCTATACTTAGTCAAAGCATCACAATCCTGCAAAATGTAGACTAGCCATACTGAATACCTTATATTCATCAATAACCCATTTTGTCTGTTTTTTGTTGTCATTAAAATGTGCATAGTATTATTTTAAAAAATGTGTGTATTTGTCTTATTTGTTCAAATATATCTAGCTCTACTCAAAGAATTCCCTATCTGATTACTGATTGTTAAGAATCAATTAATCGCCAAATCAATTCAGCAGATTACCCCTACAGTATGTCCTCACTGTAGCTATACGTCAACAAAAAGAATGCATTGTAGATTACTCTGTTTTTATGTTGAAGGCAACCGCATCAGGCGTGATGGAATTACTCAATGTAGAGGATATAAGATATAAGGATAAAAAAGCAACACGCTAAAAAGCAAAAAGGGATTGAAGAACAGAGCTGTGCATCCAAACGTTTTCTTTGTCAAGTGCATATTGGGAATCAAGCAAATTAATATGAAGATCAGCACTCATTTTGTTTTTAAAAAACCCAAGGACATGGTGTGTAGCTCCTGATCCATTCCTGTCTTCTGCTTTTCTGCATGACTTAGTTATCCGGTTTGTTTAGTATGCAACGAAGAAAAGGTTGCATTGCATGTTAAAATAGAAACAGCTGGAAGGCACAGAGTTTACGACCCATGTTCCCATACTAGAGAGGGTCCAGCTGAGGAGATTCATTTACAGATGTAAGAAGTTGCAGATGGACTCATCCATGCTGTCAGTCCCCAGCAGGCAAACCTCATTTCTCCAATCCACTTGTACAGCTGTGTGTGATGCACTCCAGCTTTGTGTCAAGCCCATACTGCAGTGCTCTTCAGTGTGCTATCACAACACAAAGCACTCTCAACACTAGTATTAAACATTAATCAAAGCAAGCAATTCACATATAGCTTTTCAGCAATTGTTTTGAAAGTTTAAGTTTATGTTAGAAATCTTACCTAGGCCATGCACTGTTTAACTGAAAATGCAACAGATAAACGTTTTAAGAGCTTCGAATGACTATCAATGTACTTTAAATTGCTCTTCAAAACTGACTTATTTGCAGACAGTAGCTGGAGGATATTGATTTTGCTGAATTTTTGTACTGCCTTGAGGAGGAGGTCTCCACAAGGCAGAAACCTATACCTTAATGTGATGCCCTGTAGGAACAGACAGAGAACAAGCCTGGCATCATTATCTCTCAAAGTGAGGCAGTTAGTATAACTGGTTATATATTTTTATCCAAAGGGCAACTAACAATATCCTGTAACACAGATCCCAGGACACATTGTATTCCAAGAAGCACTGCAAATTGATGTAGCAACTCTATAGATATACTGTAAATGCTAAAAGGAGCATGAACAATATATTTATGAAATGTAGCATGTCAAGTGCATGCATAGACCAATTTACCAACAATACTTCAATATTCATTGAGTGAAGTATTTGTGGGTTTACATGATACCTTAGAATGTGATTTAATTTAAAAGTTATTTTTCCTTTTAAATGATGGTAACAGAGGGGCACAAGACCACAGTTGGGTCTTAAAGTCAGTATGTTGTACACTGAACTAAAATAACGAAATAGTTATTCATTTCCCATCTTATTTGGTCTCTAAGCATC